TCTGATGGCTCACGGTGGAAGTCTCGGACGCAGGTGACTTTGAGGCGACCTTTTGGCTCTCGTTCATGTCTGATTTGGCCTCGCTTCTGGGCCTTCCAGACATGATGTTCAGACTTGACGGTGGTCAGATTGCTAGTCTGACTGCACCATGGTGAGATTACTTTCATTTTGAGTCAAGGTAGAGCGATTCGAAGGTCGATTCCACCAGAAGACAACGTCTCATTCCTCACGAAACCCAACCTTGCTTCACATGTAAAAATTACAAACGGTTCTGTTAAGTTCTGTCATTTAACCAAAAGGAGCTTAGCACGTTTTCATCGGAACCGAAAGAGATTGTCTCGAAGACAGTATTGTTTTATGATAGGATCTATCTTCGAATCTCTTCACCGTACACTCGTACTAGAATTGGAAGTGAGCTCAATTATAAATCAAGCAATTCCTCAATGCCAACTTTTCTTAGAATAACTGAACATTACCCCAATTCGATTGTCAACTGGTGTGAATAGGGTATGGGAGAAACTTTTCGGAAAAAAATTGAATCGCGCCAAAAATGTGGTCATTCTAGTTCGTTTATTGAGGACTTGAATGCGGGCCTACTAATGCCATTATGGTACAATTCAGCTACCAGTCCTTAAAAGACCTTGAACGATCTAGACTAAGAGATTTCTTATTCGGGAATTTCTGACAGTTTCGAGACCCTCAAGCGGGTCCTCATTTCTGCCGAAAGTGGGGTACGATTTTCTCACATCCTGCTGGCTTACAAAACCAAGGCTGTGTGATTTCTGTCGGGTTAAAAGAAGACAAACTGGATCACGAATAATCCCTTTGCAATTCAGTTTGACTCGACTTTTAATCTCGAAGGAAAGTGGCGCTGAAAGAGCTGCTCAAATTGGCCGGATCGGAAACCGAAGCAGGATCACCTCGAAATTACGACCGCTTTATTGTATTGTAGTGAACTGGTACTTCTATTCAACTATCCGGTTTTGGGTGACTAGCAGTGTTATTGGTACTGTTTTCGTGAATGATGACCTCTGGCTGTGCGATGTCTGTGACGTTGGGAGCTCTGATAGATCGGCACAGATGGATTGGGGTCATTGGACACCTTCCTCCTCCGGTCTTGAAGGTGACCAATTCACGAACCCACTCTGGCCAACGTCTCTCTCGAGTTCAAAGTTCAGATGCCAAAGAATGCACCCATCCACAAGTTGACCCAAGTTTTACTCCAATCCCATCCATTCTCGGTGAAGCGAATTGGTCTCGCGTCATACAAGACAACCACATACCCTCTTTTCGTTCAACTACACCTTTTCACAATCCAGTTAAAGCCCTCATTCCATTCGGATTGCAGTTGTGCACTCATTTAGTCTCATCCAGCATAATTTCGTCCAAATGTATTCTCCATTATCGGTACATTTTGATGTGGATCTCAAGTTATTTATGTGACCCTTCCTCCCTTTGATGAACAATCTTCATGTCATGTCATTATTATTTTCCTTATCATGCTACCATCTGGACGCATCGAAGATCCTCTTCATGCTTTCATATCCTTCATTTAGTTTGTAAGACAGTGGCTTTGTGCGAAGGAATCTCTGGTACATTTCTCTAGACGAGATCTTCGTCAACTAAAATTTGGCTTTCATTTCTTTGATTTTTCTTTTTTTTCCTTTTTTATTCCTTTCTTCTTTCTTTATTTCTACGCGTTTCATCAACTT